ATTTGCCATCCACAGGCGACCGGTTATTCCTTACGTTACCATCGGCAGGTTTCTGAAGTTCCTCATTTGAGGTCAGCGCTATTTTCAAACGTGCATAGCGAAGTCCTAACGATTTCAGGATCTGTGTCGGCGCCGTGACTGTGTGTAGGAGTTGCCGAAGGGTCAGGTGCGAGGCACACCCTCCTCGCCTGCTGTCTGGCTCTGCGTGTGCGCGTGGGTGTTCGCGGTATGTGCCTGCCGGAGCCCAGTCGTGAACGCACTGGTGACTTCCCACGTGTTGATTGGAATAATTCTGGAACGAAGAATTAGCTTGTCATTGTGCTGACTTGAAAGAGACTAATAGTTCTCGCTGTTGAAACAAGGAAACCTCTCCATTTTTCTTACAAAACGGAATCTCTTCTATGTAAGCCCTGAGCGCTCAGCTGTGTGGTTTAGAACAACACACACACGTCATTATAGGGACCCTTCACGCCCTTGCAGGAAGGCTAGTCTTTTTTGTTTCAACTTTTGCTAAAAATGATTCTGTTCAGTTACAGTCCTCCCCTAGGAAGCAGCGTCCAACGGCAGACAACAGGAAGTCCCCACTGGTATGGCGTGACCAAGGGGATCAGGTTTTTCATTTGTACAATGAAGATAATAGTGTTGACCTCGAAGGAGAATGATGTCTGTTCAGAACCCAGTACACTGCTTGTCACATTGCGGATGGTGGACGTGTTAATTACACCGAAACTCTTGGTGCTCGGGGTCCTGGGAATGCCTGGGAAATTTCTGTTAGAGTTTATGACGTCATTACAGCCATAGAAGGTGTACAGAATGGCCCCGACCGTGAGCCACTCCAGGGCTTCCCTAGCGCCTCCCACTTCCCTAGCGCCTTCCCTAGCCTCCCACTTCCCAGTAAACCACTGATGGGAACGGTTTTTCCTGAAAGCTAGGCAGTCATAATCCCTGCCTGAGACGTCCCCCTTTCCGTGAGCGTTGTTGCCTCAATAAGTGTCACCCACCTGCTCTGTTCTCTCTTCTGACGATGCTGTGGGGACCGGGGCCTCCTGTGGGGCTCCCCTTCTGGCCAGCAAACGGGAACCGAATAGCAGTAGCGATCGCTGCTCTGCAGAAACACCGAGCGCTTCATGGCCAGGGGAGGAGAGAGCAGGCCGGGGGTGGGGGGGGCACAGAGACCGCGTGGCCTGGGAATTATGCCCTGGGGCCAGAGCGGTAGGAGATGAGGTGCACATCCAAAGAAATGGTGTCATCATCGGGTCTTTCCAGGTGATTTCTTAGAAAACCTTTACACCAGGACTAGGACGCTTTCTTGGTGTCACAAGCTTTTATACTCCACTCTGCATAACGAGAGTTAAGTTTTTCTCTTGACAAATGAGGAAAGAAGAAGCTTTTGTGGTACCTGTTTTTCCTAAACTTTAGGAATCAAGCCTACTTTAAAAAATAAACTTTTCTTGAAAGGAAAATGAAAATTGATAACTTTGTTTTTTAGGGGTTTTATCTGACATTAAGTCTCCTCTTCACAGAGTAAATTACCACCGGTCTCTTGCCCGATACAACAACGAAGAGGACTTTTATTCCTTGGAGTGTTTCTCGACCGAATGTTAGGCTCTCAGTTCCGTTCCCAGTTCGGAAACCACCAGGTCGCCCGTGTTGATTTTATCATCCAGATAGGTGTACGCATTGCCATCGTCTGCCGCAGGGGAGGCAAGTTAGAGTATCTTCCCTTGGTGCAGCCTCTTCTCTTCTTAAGTTAAAGCGCACTGCGTAGATCACGGTCAGTTGGGCTTACTGAAGAAGTAAACGACGACGATGTTCCTTCTCTTTGTCCATCACCTACACGGACTTCGTCCCTTTTGGGCCGAACGTAGCAGCGGATTATCTGTTCTGCCACATGGCGTAGCCGTCTGACGCGTCAGACAGTGCTGCTGCCTCGGAAGGTGGCCCGTTGCGTGTCACAGCGGCGTTGAGGGAACACCTGTGTGCTGGCGGGCAGTGGCTGTAGCCTCGAGGTCCTGATACTACCGTCTCTTTTCTAGCACGTTGAGAACTTCTGTTTTTAGAAGCGTGAATCGCTATTTATCGATCCATTCGGTAGACAACCTTAGTATCTTGGATACATACTAGAAATTTCGGTTTGGTGAGCAACACAGGATGATGGGGTCTAGACTCCGGTTTCTGTAGGTGCTCGCGGGATAGCGGATGCTCCGGAACCCGCAGACTTCCCCTCGCCGGGTGGGCTCCCAGGCAGCTGACTTAGCCCCCTCGAGTCCTTAGGGTTTTCGGTGTCCAGCCAGCCTTGCGTTCCTGGGGTCTGCTGCTTGGGCGTGGGGCGCGGTCCCTTTTCTGTGTGGGTGGGTCACGCTGCTGCTGTTTCGGGGGGTCTTGACGTGCATTTGTGGGGGTGCTTCGGCGGCCACTTCGGCGCTTGTGTGCGGGTCATGCCGGCCTCACAGGGGGCTGGGAAGATTCCTCCTCCTCTCTTCTCTGAAGGACGCGTCTAAGATTGGCCGTCTTCTTCCTGACACGACAGTTTTTCTTTGCAGGAGCTTTTCCATTACCAATTCAGTATCTTCTCACGTTTTCAGATTTTCTCTTTGCTCTTGAATTGATTTGATGTTTTACATTTCTCTCGGAGTCTGTCCGTTTCATCTCGGTGGCCTGACTTGTTGGTACAAAGTTGTTCATGACATCGTTCTTCATTTCAGTGGGGCCTGTTGTGATGCCTGCTCTCTTGTTTCTGATTTTGGTCATTTGTACCCTCTCTTCCTTTTTCTTGATCAGTTTAGTTAGAGGTCATTGGTTTTTTTGATCTCAGAAATGCGACTTTTGGTTTCATTGATTTTTTTTTTTTTGTCATTTTTCTGTTTCCTGTGTCACTGCTTTTTGCTGCGATCTTATAATTTCCTTCCTCGTATTTTGAGTTTGATTTCCTTTTTTCCTCCAGCCTCTTGAGATAAAAGCTCAGGTTGCTGATTTCAGATTTCGTTTCTTTTCTGACATAACTCTTAACTTGCATCCCCTCAGTTTTGATGTTGTATTTTTATTCAGTTCAGAATATTTTTTGGTGAGTTTTTTAGTCTTCATTTCTTAGTCTGGCTTCCCAGGGGTTGACCCTGTTGCTACATAGCTTGTTGGTCAGCCAGTCATTCAGGAAGACATTGTCCATTGGTGTGTGAGTGGGGGGCGCTGGCTCGCAGAGCCCACCGCAGCTCCTCCTTCTACCTGCCCCCTACCTGCGTGAGTCCCCCGGCTCTCTGGCACCCTCAGCACTCACTTAGGCCTTCAGGAGTTCTTTGATCTCCGGGATTTCCCACTATGTCTGCTATTGTTCCAGAAAGGTCCCCGGCTGATGGCTTGGTGGGCAGTCCCCACCCCACCACCCCCTGTGGCTACCCTGCTGGCCAGGTCCCAGGAGTAGGTGCGAGTTCATGACTCCTTTCACTTCGACTCCCAGAGACCTGAAATGCTTATTCTGGGTGGCTTTGTCACGTAGGTACTTAATGTTGCGGGGGAGTGGGTCGGAGAGATTTTCCCTCCTTTTCAGGCTGCCACGGCCAGAAGCCCTGCCACGGGTGACAGTTTTAATCCCGTTTCTCTCGGGTCCCAATTACTTTGGGCAGTTTTTTTTTACACACATCTTACCTACACCTGTCTTGCTGCAGCCCCCGTCCCTTCACTATTCCACTAAACTGTCTCTAACAGATCAGTGTAGAGGGGAGAGAGGCACCGAGTACAGGGGCCACTGCTGAGCTCATTCCCGCAGCCCCTTGTGGAAACACTGGAGCCTGAGCAGGCAGGGGCTGGGCTCCTAGTGCCGGTGAGGAGTGGGGCCTCCCGGCACACCCGGCCTCCAGCTCTGCTCAGGCCATGTGGTTTAGCAGGGCCAGAGCGCGCGCTCCTCTGTCCGCACTTTCTTTCTTGGCCCCGGTTGCTCTCCTTTACGCGGAAAGCAGCCCACAGACGCCGTCCAGAGCGGTGTTCTATGCTGCCTGGCGGTGTCGTGAACGTAAATAGTGCAGCTTAAGTGTGCTCAGGGGCAAAAATCCCAGCGAGACCACGTTGAAGGTTTGTGAATTGGCGGTGTCCCAGCCACCAGGCCTTGGAGGCCCCCGGGAGGCGCAGAACGGGAGGCCACTGTAGAACAAGGACAGGCACGAATGCTACTGGCAAAAGAAAAGGATGGGTTCAGGCAGGTGGCTCTTTGTTAGGGGGAGCGTGGGGGACCTGCGGAGATGCGATAGGGCCCGTGGCCTGCTGTTGAGTGCTGATGGGAAACTTCCTGTTTCTGGGGAGGTTGGCTCTTCCGCAAGCCCCGGTTTGGGAGCTCTAAGTGACCCCATTTTGGGTCTGTGCTTTTCTTTTTAGGAGATACAGCCATTTTTAAGATCAGGAAACAAGGGGTTGCTAGTGAAACTCAAAAGGTTCTGATCCTTGTGAAGCTTGTAATACGGCCAGCGAGTCCCACCTCTGAAATCACAGACTTGGGGACGGAGGCACTTGCGTCTCAGTGGGGGGCAGGGTGCAGGAGAGGGCCAGGGCTCCACGCCGTGTCCCCAGGGCCCCCTCTGGCCACAGCCAGTCAGCTGCATCCCGAGGACAGTCCCATTTGCATTGCAAGGCGGATTAAAAGTTTGAAACCACTGCCCCGCAGTCAGATTTTAGCAAGAACACTCTCGAAAGCGGCAAATGCAGGTTGAGTATCAAGTATTTCTAAGTTCAGCAGTATTTCACTTGGCGAAACAGCCCGTAATTAATCTGCAGACCTCTTGAGTAGATACAGTACTTAAAGATCTCCGTGGTTTAAATTTCACCAATACGATGAAAACCCATGCACATCAGATGAGAAATTTCCTTAGTGGCTCTAGTGAAAGGACAGGTGGTTTTTCACTTGTTTGAAACGGTTTGCTCTCGGGTGAGGGCTAACCGTGGTGGGCCCCGAGGCTGGGGAAGGCCGCCCGCCCGGCCGCACGGGTACTGACCAGCACGCTGCCTTGTTTCAGCAGGGAGGAGAGAGCGACGGCTTTTTTCACCCTGAGGGCCAGCCCCAGCGGCTCCCACAGCCCCCAGAAGTGAGACAGCAGCCCGCCCGCAAGGTGACGCTGACCAAGGGGGCCCTTCAGCAGCCCCAGCACCCGCCAGTGGGGTCCCACGTGCACTCGGCCGGCCCTCCGGGCATCAAGAGCATCCCGGGAGTTCATCCGGCCAAGAAGGTACTGCCTGTTAGCTGGGCTGAGTGCCGCCGACGCAGGGCTGTCCTCCTGCTCCTGGTGGTAGCGGTCGGCGTGTGGACAGTTCTCGGATGGCAGGGCCGCGCGCAGTAGGAGGGCTCGAGTAAACTTCTAAATGGACGGTAGTCTCTTCTGTTCTGGCTTTGGAGGCTGTGTGTTCACAAAAGGACTTCCCTCTCCTGACTTTGTAACAGGACACGTCAGGGCAAGGCCGCACAACCGGGGCGTGTGGCTGTTTTCTCCAGCTCTGACCCGTGCGCTGGGGACAACGCTGTGCGCACAGACCCCGGTCCGGCACACCTCCTCCCCTGCTCGCTGGCCCTCCGGGCTCCGCAGACCAAGAGCCAGAGGGACGTTTGCTCAGCCACTTCCTTGCTGTTTCCCTAGTTCACAGGCGGGAAGGTGAGGCCTTTGGGGGTGAAGGACCCTGTCTGAAGAAAGTGACCCTGACTCTGGTTCTTTTCTCCTTCCTTCGCTCTGAGGATTAAAGGGGTCCTGACCGACTGTGGGACAAGAGACACGGGCATCCAGAATGCCTTCTGCAGAGGTGCTTGTTCTCCTTTTGCGCACGGAATTTAAAACCTCCCCTAGGAGAAGAGTGTCTGCTTTGTCCCGTTATGTCCCTGTGGTAGGGCGCCCTTCCCCTCGGCTGGTAGGGGAGCTGTCTCTGTGACTTCCCCCAGGCCTCCACCTCTCTGCCCAAAAGTAAAGTCTCCTCTTGGTGCATAAGTCAGATGCCCCTCGTCTGATGGAGTTAAGCAAGGGAAGAAGCAGGGCAGCGACACCTGCTTTGAGTTTCTTCTGGAAAGCTCTGCAGTCTCCTAGCTCTTCCTCTCTGCTCGTCCTCCTACTGATACTCAGTAGTAATACTCACTGTGAAGGCCATTCTGGGTCTTGGAAGTATTTAAATGCCTTTGTCGACATCATAAGCCCTTGATGTAGGAGCAAACAAAATTATTCCCTTTTTGCAACAGAGGACAGGGGTACAGACATCAGATCTTCAGTCTTTGAAGGTTGCTCCGGTCTAAACTGACTCCAGTCACGGGCTGTCCCCCCGTACACGAGGAGAGACATTAGAGGCCTCCTGCCCCCGACAGCCATGCGCATCTGAAACCTTTGCTCTCCTGTGAAGTGAGGACGGCGATGTTTCCTAGCTCACCTGGGCTCTTGGGAGGATTTCATAAGAAGATGCAGATAAAAAGCATGATCCCTGGTGTATGAGGGAAGCATTTGGTGAAGGATATTATTATTAATATTGTAACTTACTATAGCTAGAATATAAGAATACTTAACTTATTGCTGGTTTCCAGCCAGTTTTACTTGCAACTTTCCCCCTCCAATTCCACTGTAGTTAATTTCAGCAAAATTGCACACATTACCCGGTGCTCACTGTGCTAAGTGTGCTCCTGACCCCCTTCGCCCATCTCACCCCTCTGCCCACCGGCCTCCCCCTCACCCCTGCCGGGTAACCACCGGTTTGTTCTCAAGAGCTAAGAGTCTGTTTCTTGGTTTGCCTCTTTTTTTCCCTGTACATTTTTTTTCTTAAATTCCATATGAGAATGAAATCATATGGTATTTTTTTCTTTTTGACTGACTTTGCTTAGAATAACACTCTCTGGCTTCATCCACATCATTGCAAATGGCAAGATTTCATCCTTTTTGTGGCTGAGTAATACTGCACGTGTGTGTGTATGTCGTATGTATGCACGCGCGTGCACACGCACACGCCACATCTTCTTCCTCCGTTCGTCTTGCAGTGGACACTGGGGCTGCTTCCACAGTTCAGCTGCTGTGTTGTTGATTTTCACTGTTCGGACAGCGGAGGTGCTCGCCCGCCGTTGTTTTCATTATCCCCGATGAGGCATGACGTGGGCCACCTTTTCATGTGTCTGTTGGCCATCTGGAAAGATCTTCTTTAGAGAAATGTCTATGTCTGTCTTCTGCCCATTTTTAACTGGATTATTTGGTTTTAGGGTATTGAGTTGTATGAGTTCTTTATGTATTTTGGGTACTAGACCGGTATCAGATAGGTCATCTGCAGATGTCTTCTCCCATTCCGCAGGCTGCCTTTTCCAGTGTTTAACTTGCTGAGCTTTTTATTTTGCTGTGGCGCCAGTGAATTCTCTTTGCTTTCACTGCTCTTTCTTCAGGAGACACATTAGGAAATATGGCTATGACCAGTGTTCGAGAATTACTGCCTATGCTCTCTTGTACGATTTTTACGATTTTAGGTCACACATTTAGGTCCTTAATCCATTTTGAGTTTATCTCTGTGTGTGGTGTCAGAAGTGGTCCTGTTTCATTCTTCTGCACGTGGCTGCGCTGTTCTCCCAAGACCACGTGTTGAAGAGACTTTTTCCCATTGCATACTCTTGCCTCTATTTTTTTTTTTATTTTTAAAGATTTTATTTATTTATTTGTCAGAGAGAGAGAGAGAGAGAGCGCGCACAAGCAGGCAGAGAGGCAGGCAGAGGCAGAGAGAGAAGCAGGATCCCCACTGAGCAAGAAGCCCGATGTGGGACTCGATCCCAGGACTCTGGGATCATGACCTGAGCGGAAGGCAGTGGTTTAACCGGCTGAGCCACTCAGGCGTCCCTTCTTTGCCTCCTTTATCAAAGATTAATTAGCCATGCGGTTCTGGGATTATTTTTGGGTTTTCTGTTCTGTTCCCTTAATCTGCATGTCTGTTTTGTGCCAGTAGTGTACTGTCTTGATCACCCCAGCTCTGAGGTGCCACTCGACGTCTGGAATTGTGATGCTTCCAGCTTTGCTTTCCTTTTCCAGGGTTACTTTGCCTGTTTTGGGTCTTTTGCGGTTCCAGACAAAGTTTAGGATTGTTCTAGTTCTATGAAAGGTGCTGTTGGCATTTTGATAGGGATTGCACTAAATGTGTAGACTGCTTTGGGGTATTGTAGACATTTTAACATAATTTGTTCTTCAGGCCATGAACGTAGAATGTCTCTCCATCTCTCTGTGTTGTCAGTTTCTTTGACCAGTGTTGTGTGGTTTTCAGAGTATGGGTCTTTCCCCTCCTAGGTTTATTCCCAGGCGTTTATTTTTGGTGTAACTGTAAATGGGCTTGTTTTCTTAATTTCTCTTTATGTTGTTTCATTATTAATATATGGGAATGCAACAGATTTCTGTACATTGATTTTTTTATCCTGCGACTTTACTGAATTCATTGATCAGTTCTAGTGGGTATTTTGCGCCGTCTTTAGGGTTTTCTGTGTATGGTATCATGTCAGCTGCAGGTAGTGAGGGTTTCACTTCTTCCTTAACCAGTTTGGATGCCTTTTCCTTCTTTATCTTGTCCGATTGCTGTGGCTAGGACTTCTAGTCCTGTGTTGAATAAAAGTGGTGAGAGTGGACATCCCTTTCTTGTTTATGATCTTTGGGGAAAAGCTCTCAGTTTTTCCCCTTTGAGTATGGTGTTGGCTGTGGGTTTTCATATATAACCTTAGTCATGTTGAGGTATGTTCCCTCTAGACCTATTTTGTTGGTTTTTAATCATGAATGGATGTTGTACTTTGTCAGATGCTTTTTCTGCATCTGTTGAAATGATCATACGGTTTTTATCCTTTTTCTTATTGATGTGATTTACGTGTACCTTTTGATGCATGTTTTCCATTGTGACTTCTCTTGAAATATTCTTTTGCACTTTTCAAAAACTCATTTCCCAGGTGGAGTTTTGTTGCCTTCTGGGGAGTGTTAAAAAATGTCAGTTTGTAGGCCTTTCCCTTTGTGTGGTGCCCGGTTCATGTGCAAAAGTTCCTTTATGATTTCTACTTACCTTCCTCTCTGCCCTTTTCTGGGATGGAACAGGAGGCCATTTTTGTCCCTTTGTACCCGGACTCCAGGGTAGAATTAGGGTTAGGATGTCTGGAAGCCCTGGTGCTGTTGACTTCGACTTGCCACCTGCATTTCACTGCTTCCCTACAGAGGACAAGTTGTGTTTTAGAGAAAGCACTCGGCGCGTGGTACTTACCTCAGTGTCTCCTCTTCTTTAGAAAAGACCCCATAGGAGTAGTTTTGAATCCGTGGGCAACTTAAAAATCTCCTGAGGTCGGGGCCCTACCTTAGACCAGGGACCTCATCACTGAGGTGGCGGTGGGCGTGCGGGCACCATTGTGCTTGGGTGTCGGTGTGGTATGAAAGCGCTGCGATGTGCGGGATGGTGCAGCAGATGGGAGGTGACCACCCCAGCTACAGAACCTGCTCAGATTCTCGGGGTGCCAGCCACACAGAGTCACGAGGAGCCTCGGGTCCATAACGTTGTGGCTTGTGGGCGCATGGTGGCACTAGTCTCCCCAGATGTGGCTTGGAGTACGCCGGGAGAAATTTGGGCTCTGGAGTTGTTAGGACCAAACCCAAACAAGTTTCTCAACCCCTCTGATCCTGCCGCTGCATCCGCCAGCGGTGGTTACGTGGAAAGGGCCTCCTCCTCCTGTGCTTGGGACCGAGGTAGATGCACACTTGGCGCTGCTGGGTCTTCCTTTGCTTTACTCGTGGGGTAGTTTCACCTTGACATTCAGGTCTGCCCTGGAGGTGGGTGGATGTACGGCTGATCCCGCAGCTCGTGGTCGATCTTCGTGGATTCTGAGCTGTTTGTCCGCGTATGTGATCTTAGTAGCTGCGGGGAAAATCAAAGCTTCAAAGTCAAACTGTACTTTTGCTGTTGCCAGGTCCTCATGCACGGGAGAGGCCGAGGCGTGGCCGGAGCGATGGGCCGGGGACGCCTGACACCGAACAAGCAGAACCTCCGGGTGGTGGAGTGTAAGCCCCAGCCCTGTGTCGTGTCCGTCGAAGGGCTCTCCTCGTCCACGACTGACGTCCAGCTGAAGAGCCTGCTGACGTCCGTGGGTCCCATTCAGGTGTGTCCCCCGGGGCCCGTTCCCAGGACCCACTGTCTCGATTAATGCCCTTTCGGTTACTTCGTGCTAAAAGAGCACATTTGAGGAGAAAGACACGTACGTTATTTACTGTGGATGCCTAATGTCCGAACTTTGCCTTAGATGATTTGGAAATTTTCAGAGGCTCAGTATCCTGACGCTCGGCTCTGTCGTGCACTCTCGGTTGAGATAACTTGGAACTTTTAAAGCATCTACCCTCCTTGACCCTAATTTGGAGAAGTAGCTCACATGTTAACAACTATGAAACGTGGTTTCGATTTTACAAACATGAAATAATGCAGACTACAGTTTGATCTCTTTGTCTTACGACGGGCAGTTTCTCAATGCTCCGTAGTCTCCGCTGAGCCGGCTGCAGGTGTGCCCAGGTCCGTGGTGAATGGCGTTGTCCATGCAAACGCCCAGCCTCTGTGTCCTCTCTGGTCTCACGGCTACATCCACAGAGAAGCCAGCTGGCCTGGGTTTCTTTGAGCGTTGTGTCTCTCGGGTCGTGTCCCGTCCGCATCCGAGTCATGGCCTTCTCCTGTCCCACCCTCCCCCACCCCCATCCCAGATGCCATCCGCACCGCGTCAGATCCCAGTGGGCAAGACGAGGAGTGTGAACATCAGATTTGTGCGTGCCTCCTCTCAGGCTCTTTCACAGCCTCTTGTTGCGTGAGCGAATGGGGAAACATTTTTAGACTAGAGTTGATACAAATAATTCTTAACATGTTTGAAATCTGTCTACCATCGAGAGTCAGTCACTACCTGTGAGGCGTGGATGAAAATGCTTCTCAAACCCGCCCTGTCCTTCATTTCTGGAGGGAGCGGGGAGCGTTCTTATCTGTCTGCGTGTCGTAGTAGGAAGTTAGCACTTGGGCTTCCGTGTTCCGGGCGGCCGGTAACGCAGGGTGTGGCAGAGACGGTCGGTAATGCCCAGGGGCTTTCACGCTGCTGACAGTGGCAGCCCCTGCGCACAGGTCCCCGCGACGGGGCGGGTTTGCGGGAGCAGAGCTGACAGTGGCACTGGACGTGTGTTAGTGCGTGATTGTCCTGGTCTGAGAGTCTCCCGCGCGGTGGTGGAGAATCGGGGGACCCCTCACAGTGGGTCCAGACTAACCAGAGCCAAATCTGGGAGTTCTGAGGCCTGGTGTTTCCTGTGAGGGCTCGTGGGCAGTCTCCTGTCTCCGTGTCTCCGTTGCCCTGTGGGCTGGGGGGTGACGGCGCGGCTGCTTTCTCCACAGTGGTCATGGCTTTGCTCCCTCACGTGGAGTCTTGGTAATTGTCCTGAGCGTCTTCGTGGGACGTGGTTGTCAGGGTCCATATCTGAACCACGGGCAGCTCCCCATCACACTGCTGCTTGGAGCCATTGCCAGGGCACTCACCGTGGTCTTAACCATCTTAAAACTTGAATTTTGAATTTTGCATTTGGGGCCTATAGATCTCTTGAATGGCTCCCCCAACCCCCCCGTTCTGAAAAGTATTGGAGATCAGTTAGTTGTAAATAAAGTTTGGTTGAGGGAACCTAAAGCCAAACAAACACGATGTAGGATTATTTAATGCCTCGTTCTGGGCTAGAAAGCGAGGGAAGATAGGAGGGGAATGCGTTCTCTGGGTTCCATCGGGTACCCTAAAAATGGGGTGGACGGTGACCTTCCATCCGCCCCAGAGAACTCCCTGGGGCGTGATGAACGGAGCACTTAGGGAGGGGCCTGTCCTTCCTCCCTGGGGAAGAGAAAGCTCGCATCTTGCCGGTCTTAGTCCCATAGGAGGGTTTTGAGGGGGAGTTTATAAACACGGTATTCACAAAAGGTCAAGTTTCTTAATTTAAAAAAAAACCAGCAACTAACATAACAAGGGCCTGCCAGTGTTGGATAGCTGAAGAGTGACACTGATGACACATTGGAGAATGACGTTTACGACCAGGCTCGCCCAATGGCGTAAGTGCGCATAGGCCCGGAACGCCCAAGCTCTGCGTGGAGCTCTGTGTGCGGCGGGCTCTGGTGCCACCTTGTGTCCACGTCGGGTAACAGCAAGTGGTGGTGTCGGGCAGGGAGGTACCCTGGTCCTTTGGGCCTTTATGTTACAGAGAAAATCGTCACACTGAACCGTGGAACCGGAGAGGCGCGCTCAGTGTGACCCTGGACCGTGACGGGGCGGCCACATTTCTTCTAGATGGATGCGGCATTCCCTTAAACGGTGCTCAGAAGCCTCTCTAGAGGGTCCGGTGTAAGGCCTGTATTTGACTCCTTCTCTACGGAGCAGGGAAAGACCTGTTACAACCAGGGGGCAGCAGTGGTGTGAGCAGTACAGGGCGTGTTCTGAGTTTCAGGGGAGCGGGCACCGTGGGGGAGCCGTGTGGCGCTCCGAAGCTAGCGGTGGCTGGAGTCTGATCTGCGAGAAGGCCGAGCCTCGGTTGGCACACCCAGCCGGAGGCAGCTGCTGCTTGCTCACGGGGGCCGGGGCGGCTGTGGGCAGTGGCGCGCACGCTCAGCTGCTGGCTGGTGGCCTGCACGGCTTCCTGCAGGAGTGACCCTGACCTCCTGCTCTGTCCTGAAACCCAGAAGCCGAGGGAGCTCTTGGGGTCAGGACATAGGCTGGTTGAAACACCTGTGGTTTTTTGCTTCATTGTCTTTACTTCCCCTTTTGGTAGGTTATGCCTGAAATGGTGCCAAGAAGAGGAATTTGTTATCCTATAAATAAGTGAAATGTCACGGTGTAAAAACAAAAAGTAGTTTCTTCACAAAAGCAGAACGTTTGGAGTCACTTAATGAGACTCTGGCGGGTTCCCTGCTGCGATGGTCGCTGACAGCTCCGGTGTGGGGAACGGGCAGCGGCGTTGTGCACATTCTGGCTGCGGCCCAGCGGCCGTGCGGGTCGTCCCGGAGCTGGGTCCAGAGTGGGGAGGCCCCGGGCAGATTGTTGTGGAGGCTGCCGCAGCCCCTCGCCCTGCGGCCGGGGTCGCACCCGCACCGGGCTCTGCGACGAGGCTTCAGGGCCCGTCCCGGTGCTGCCGGGTCTGGGTGTGCACCGCTCGGACAGCACCCCCTCCCCTCGCCCTCGGGTCACCTGCACAAGCACTTCAGCGCTCCTCGTTGCTCTCCGTTGTGCCCTGGCAAACCTTGAGGGGTGGACGAGGCCGGGGGCCTCCACGTCGCCCTTGAGGGGCAACAAGCAAGCCAGGACAACCCCAGCTGCAGGGGCAGGTGTGCTCTCGGCAGGTGGTGCTGACCCCAAGGGGGCGCGCTCCCGGTCCGCCCCTCGGGGCCCTGCCCTCTGCTTGTCGGGAGCGCGCCTCAGTCTGCCCTGAAGCGCGGCTGGTCCTGAGCCATCGAGGAGGTGTTGGAGGAGGCAGGAGTGCAGCCGTTCTGCAGCTGAGGACATCTGGGAAGGAAAGCACTGGGTATGGTCGGTGTAGGTGGACCACGGACCTGTGCCACAAGGTGGGAAGAAAATAGAGGCGCGGACACATGTTCCGAAGCTGTACTGTGAAAAACCCATCCTGAACCCTGTCAGGAACCCAGAGGAAGAACGGATTTTCAGGAGCCCCGTGCGACAGCCTGAGAGCTCTTAAAAGCGCGCGCTCGCATGGGTTCTCACGGGCAGGTTCGTGTAGCCGAGGGAAGCTGGGCCGGCAGCGAGGCGGGTGGTGGGGGCCATTGGCGTCAGCACGAGCAGCGTCAGCTTGCGGAACTGCAGGTGGGTGTGCCCAGGCCCTGGGACTTGAGCAAGGACAGCGACTGGACTGCGGAGCAGACGGGACCCGACCCAGCCTGTTGCTAAGCTGGGGGGTGGGCAAGGGGGCTGCCTGCCATGCAGGGTGCATTTTCTGCGGTCGGTGCTGTTCACTGCTGCGGGGACACGGTCCTGCTGGGTACGGAGAACAGGCCAGTGGCGCTGGCCGCAGGGGGAAGCTTCTGTGCTCTCCATTTGTCTCGGCTGGCCTCAGAGGGGCCCGCCCACGGGTGTCTGGGTCAGGGCTGCAGCCGTTTCACGTGTGTTTAAAGCAGCTGTTAGCATTCTTGGCTCGAAGTGATCACCGAAGTGCTAGGGGAAGCAGCTCATTTATTTTCGAAGGTTTCATTTATTTGGGAGAGAGAGCACAGGTTGGGGGAGCGCCAGGGCAAGATGCGGGACTCGATCCCAGGACCCCAACATCATCACGACCTGAGCTAAAGGCAGGTGCTTAACCGAGTGAGCCAGGCAGGCGTCCCCTGGAGGTCAGGGGGGGACAAGACTAAACGGATTTTCAGGGCTGCAGAACCCTGATAGTGTCTTCATAACATCGCAGTTTATCTGAGTGTGTGTGTGCGCGCACGCACACATGCACACACGCGCGCACACACACACACGGGCTTCCGAGAAGGAGAAGGCACTTTCCCTAATTGGGAACGAGAGGCCAGGGATCTGAGTGACATGGACGTCTTCCTGGGATCCAGCCGCGGGCTGTCGGAGCCTGTCACCGTTCGACGCGTGTCGGGGTGGGGGGCAGGGCGTCCGAGCGGGCAGCTGCCCACGCAGGTCTCATCGTGCATTTTGCTACTTAGAGAAGCACAGTTCCTTCCTCTCACAGAGGGAAGTGGTCTCCCTCCGGGACCGCGGAGTCACAGGGAAAGCTGGAGTGTTCGCTCCCCCCACGCGCCCGTCGGAAATGAGTTTTTCTTGTCTGTTCCTAATAAAGTTCTTAAATGTTTAGAGGAGAGTTTAGGTGAGTTCTTCTGACGCGTGCCTGAGGTCTGTCTCAGCACTGGCGGCAGTCACTACCCTCGGGCCTCGGTGCCTGTGACCCTGTGGCTGGAGGAGAGGAGAGCAGGCCAGAGGCACACAGAGCCAGAAGGAAGGGCCTGGCATTGGGCCCTGTGCAGGTGCTCGGGGACAGGGTGGGATTTGCAGCTGACTCTGCCGGGAGCCGAGGCTTGGTTCTTTGCCCACAGCCCCCCCCGCCCCACCCGGGACCGAGCCCCAGAGTTGCAGCAGCTGACCTCATTCCAGGATGGGGCACAGGCGGCGGGAACAGCAGCACGAGGCAGGTCACCTGGAGGAGGAGGTGCCTCTGTCCAGCACCCGGGGTGCCCCTCCCAGGCCGGGGAAGCCATGCAGCCCCAGGGTGCGGCCAAGGAGGCGGGGTTGATGCCATTCATCAGAGACCACTTTGTGGTGCTTCAGGTGTGCTGCTAATTTAATGAGAAATGAAATCATCCAGAAAGTTCTTTTGCTTCCGGTTTTTATATCCCAAAGAAGAGGAGGAGTCTGGTGCTCTAGCTGGCTTCGGCTCGGCAGGCCGGCAGGCCCAGCTCAGCGCTGCCCGGCGGGGCCACTCCCGGCCGGTGGTCGGGGTGGGGAGGGGTCCCCGGTCCCGAGCTGACTGCTTCTCCTCCAGGGCTCTGTGTGCACAGCTCAGCGCTCCGGAGCTGGCCGACTTGCAACGGTTTAGTTTTCCGTGAAGCACCGAAAGGTGACGTTGGGGAAGGTGGCTCCGTTTTTAAGCTCTCCTCGCTGTATTGACTGGTAGACCCCCGCGGTTACTGAAAGGAGGAATACTTCGTATTTTTAGCCACGTGTTTCCATTGTAGATCTTTGAAACGTGGTTTAAAGTTAGTCACATAGGTCAGCACTTCTAAGGGTGGCAGGTCACCTTCATTTTTTCCCCTGGTTGCCCTGCTTCACGAAGAAGCCCAGACAGTGAGGCATCGAGTCCTGTGCTGTCCCTGGAGCAGTGGCAGTGTGTCCTGGGATGAGCAAGCGTCCGGCTTCAGCTGCCGCGTACCCTGCCCTCTGCAGAGCCTGAGCCTGCACTGTGCCCCCCAGGGACACGTGCCGAGCTGGCTCCGTCACCAGGATACTTGGGAGACAGCAGGCTCTTGGGGAAGGGCTGGCTGAGAGAGGACACAGGTCTCCTTTGACGTGCCCCTCCCGCATCCTCAGACCCTAAATCCCAAGACCTCAGGGAAAACTCCGAGCCATGCGCCATCTTCAGGGCAGGTGTGAGGACCAGGCCCGAGATAACCTCTGTCCAGTGCTTGCTTCTCAGACAAGGAAGATCCTCTCCGCTCAGTGGATCATTTCTTTTCTTCTGTCTTATGCACAGACTCACTTGGTTTTCGCCTCAGAGAGTGGAGGCTTGGGGAATGGTTCTTTAGCGCCTGAAGATTTAACCTGCAGCATCGCTTCGCGGTCCTCTTCTGGGTACAGTGTGACCAGATTGCTCTGACAGCCGCCACCGGCCGCGCTGTGCCTCCTTGCGACGAGCTAGATGTAGGAAGGCCTCGTTTTCCCCCAGCGGCAGCTGTGGGGTCCCGCCGCTAAACGGCAGTTCCCTCCCGTATGATGAGTACTGCTCTTCCGGAAAGTTCAGCGAGGGCCCTGCAGAGAATCGCCTGGCAGGAGGGCATGTGGAAGGAAGCGACTCTCCACGAGGGTCGGCCAGCGGGCCTCACGGAGGAGGAGGTTGAGGGAGAAGATCGAGTGGCTTGTGTGGCCGGTCGAACCAGGCCAGGAGGATACAGGGGCTACTCCTGGCAGTGACTGTTTGGGGTTAGATTCTCTGGATGAGATGAGAAAATTGCCAGGGAGATAGAATTTTCTGCATTGATCCAAGTGTCAGCCTGGACTCGAATTTTGTGTGAAAGCTACCGTATAAATATGTTGGGTGTTTGGGCTTTTTTAAAGCACGTACAACATGCTCTTAACACATTTCTGTTTTTTTTCTCTAGAGTTTACAGATGCTTCCCCAGCAACGGAAAGCCATAGCTAAGTTCAAGGAACCAGCTCATGCGTTAGCATTTCAGCAGAAATTCCACAGGTATCCGGTGTATTCCGTGGTCAGGGCGCTGTGGGAGTGGGTGGGAGAGCCTGTCCGCCAAGGCAGCTTGGGTTGTCCGCGTGCGTGCGCCCACCTGCTGCTGGACAGACGCACCAGGAGTGTGTGAAGAGCGCCCATGGCTCGCTCTTCTCTCCTGTGGGTCACCTGCCCCGTTTTTGTATTGATCTTCTCTGTCTGCAATCTTGATGGTTTCGTGGATCCGGACCCACCACTTCAGTTTTCCGGTGTCTGGCTAAGTTGACTGCCGGTGCGTGGTGTCGCGTTAATGCTGACTCTTGGTTTGCATTTCCACAGGCACATGATAGATTTGTCCCACATAAACGTGGCCCTGATTGTTGAGTGACGTCTGGCGGGAGATGCTGACCTGACACTGCCCGGGCTGTGGGGTTTCTTCGAGGAAGTGGCAGCGCGGAGTCCCCGCAAGCGTAGGCCTCTCCGTCTGCAGCCTTGCGTGCCTGTTGTCCGGAGCGGCACACAGCCCAGTGTTGATGCCAGCACAGCTGGACTTGGGGACACAGCGGACTGGGGTTTGCTGTTAGACTGCTTCACGTTCTGTTGTCGGCACAGAGAACTACAGTTTCCGTTTGCTTTTGTTTTCCAAGTGCTCACAGTGCATGTAGACATCGTTCTTCGTGGTCGTACCATGTGATCGATCACTTAGCTTCAGGAAGGGACATTAACGTCACGGATTCTTAAGTAGTTTTTCACAGCAAAGAATACTTGATAATGGTTGCACTTATCTTCAGTGCAGGCTAGACAGGTGTTTTCCCGGCCACGCGTAACTTGCGCTGTCTTCTCAGGAAGCCCTCCAAAGGCTCTTGGAGAAACGTAGATTAAAACGCGGGTGGTTACAACCGACAGTTGCATATCCTGGACAGTGGGGTGTGCGGTGGCTGAAAGCGGCACCGACTGTGGCAGGTGCTGCTTCCTGTGACGGCTCCAGAAGCGCCTGGTGTGTTCCCAGTGCCGGAGGGGACTCCCGCCCCTCTGCGCCCTTCCCAGTCAGGCAGTGGCCCTGGCAGGCCCCACTCCACCTCCCTGGGCCTAGAGAAGGTGCCCGTAGCGTGGCCACCTTGCGGCCCTTGTGGAGTCCCCTGTCAGGCGGGCGACAGTGCGTGTGTACCATGCGAGGTGGAGGGCCGGCCCGGAGCTTGAACACCCGCTGGGGTTTTTTTTTTTTTCCTTGTTTTAAATGCATCCTGGAGGGGCATATTTGCGTCCCTGGCTCGGTGACTCAGACGTTCTTTGGGAACCTGGTTGGTATCGCATTGATGAACTTGTTTTGGGCCTTTTGAGCAGGGCTGCGCCGTCCTCCGCGGACAGGAGCGGGTCCCCCTCGTGCAGTGTGGCGCGAGGGACTGCCAGGCCCAGAGTGCAGTTGGCATATGTTTGTAGCGCCCTGAACCCGCCTGAGGGGCTCCGGTTAGGTCCCTTCAGGCCAGACCCTTCCTTCCCGTACAGCAGCCTTTAGTGAAGTTCATTCTGGGCAGATGTTTTAAAAAGTGCCTTACTCAGTGTTTCTGCTCATGAAGGAGGTGCACTGTTGTGGGTTTATTGTGGCGGGGGCCTGGGCCGTCTGAGCCAGCACTCGGGGCCGGGCAGACTCTGGCCCGCCAGCTGTGTTCGCGCCGGAGACTGCCTGTCGGGCCGCTTAGTGGACTTAGACGCGGTGGGAGCCCGCCACCTCTCAGCCTTCTGGGGGCCGTGGGAGCCCGTGTCATCCTGTTCCCCGGGGTGACAATTCTAGTGTGTTTCTAGTTGAAGCTCCCCAAGCGGCGGGGGGAGTTCAGACCCCGCGGGGCTCGCTGCGGCGCGGCTCCCGAAGTGGCAGTGCGTGGTAGCGGTCGGCTGGAAGACGGTGCTGGTGGTTGGTGGCTGCTTTGCAGGAGGTCTGGTGCCAGGGGGCAAGCAGGCGGTCCTAGGCTGCCCTGGAACACCCTCTAGCCGAGGTGCCCAGCCTCGCCGGTTCCCGGGGGCCCCAGCGACGCCGTGGGAGGCGGTGTCGCGCCAGGGCCTCACCGGCCACCACGGGCTGTCCTGGCCACTCTGGGCACCGGCAGATAGGGCAGGGCTGAGTTGGTTTCAAAGCGTAGTTGGTTTGGTTCAGTCCAGTGGGCGCTGTGTTGAGGTGAAGAGCTTGACGGCCTGGAAGCTGTCCTCGAGAGCGCGCGGGCGGCTGCCCCACGCGGGGCCGTGGGCGGGCGCTCCGTCGGTGGACTTGCTTTATCGCCCAGGACCACCTGATGCTGTAAAACGGGGTAGTCTGGGTGCGCTGGGCCTTGACGCCGAAGGGCTGCACGTTGTCTCTGGAGGGTTGGCCCAGAAGCGCACCTCCTCGTTGGTGCCGGTCCGCTCGCCAGTCCTACGCGGCCTCCCCCGTTGAAGACAGACCTTGCGGCGACTTTCAGGTCTGCTTCTGGCGTTGTCTCAGTAGGCACGGGTGTCCGGGACGTGTGTGTCCTCTAACCGTCTGCACACACGGAGGCTTTCTCTTGCTGTGACGCTCTTGAAAGCCTCGGGCCAAGGGGTGAGAAGGCCCAGCGCCACCGCCTCCCTGCGCCCAGGCACTGCCCCGGAGCAAAGCCTAGTTTCCTCGGAGGGGACTGCCGGAAAGGGAGGGAGCAGAGTTAGAAAGAAACGTTATTGCCGTGGTCGTGGTCGGCGTGCTTTCCGCAGTGAAATCAGAGCACTGTCAGCTGAGCCCTCTTAGAAGATCTGTTGCAACCATTATCTTTGTTCTTTCTTTATCATGCATTTAAAATGAGACGCAGAAGCATTTAACAGACTGTAAATACGGACCTTTTAAAATTAAAATGTTAATTGGAAATGCTTTCAATTCAGCAACAATCTTAGCTCTTTGTTAGTTCTTTTGTGTTGTCGTATGGAAGTTGCGCGGACGCAGTCCATGACTGTTGATGTGTTTGTGTGTATATTCGATTTTTATAAAGATGGTAGTAAGTCAATACATTTATCCTGACCTGTGTATTATTTGTTCCCAAATTCAGGAAGCTTGAAGTCAGTAAAGAGCAGAGTACCGCGTAAGGTAATCGCAGTAGGTTCTGTGGAGCCGAGGCACTTCTTCCTGCATTGTCTTGTTGTGACTTTGTGCTGTAATGTAAGCTCGCGGAGCCGCTTCTCCGAGCACTGCCGTTGGTCTGGCCACTTTGTTAAGTCCTTCTAATGATACTTTTCTAAAGGAGAAATCCTGGTTTTTTCCCCAAAAGAAATGTTGAGGGGGGTGTCCCCCCCCCCCCGCACAGGCAGCATCCCATGTAGGTGCCTGTACCCATTGCCCTGGGGGGACTGGCGGGGGGAGGGGGGCTTCATGACTACTTTTCACTGGGTTGTTTTCTCTTGATTTGTACTGGTCCTGGATGAACGCTTGTTGACGCTGGGTTCTGTGGCATCTCTGAATTGTGACACAGCTCAGATCATGCACCTAGGGGTCCGTTTTCGAAGAACATTTTCCTTACTTGGCCAGCAGAAGACTTTGTTGCCCGTGGCAGGAGATTGGGAGAGCCGTCCAGGGTGGAGGGTGTGAGGGGAGGTGGGGAGGGGAGTTTTGCAGAACGGAGGAGTTGTAATAAGTATTATAATGAACTTCAGACACACAGACTCCTTTAAGAGGAGTCGGCCAGTCAAGTTGGGAGACGGGAGGGCTCGCAGGCAGCTTTCGCTGGGGACGGGAGGGCGCCCACCCGTCCGGAGAGCCACCGTTCCCCGTGTGGGCCTTGAGCTCTGCCTCGGGAGGAGGCCGGACTGGCTCCCTGGGCTGGAGACGCGGGGAAGTGGGGCCTTGGTCAGAGGGTTGGTGTTGAGAGCCAATCATTTCCATTCTTTTTTCTTTCATTTTCTTTTGGCTTATGGTTTTCTGTTTTGTTCTGGTTTTTTTTGTTTTTTGTTTTTTGTTTTTTTTTTAATTAATTTCTTTGTTGTTTAATTGAAGGTAAGCTCACCGTGCTGGTGGACCGCTGGACTGACAGGGACCGTGTTGCGGACAGTTGGGTTTTGGTAGGGTCTGTGTGCCCAGTGCGGGACACCCTTGAGCCCCCCTCGTCCCACGTAGCTCCCCGGAGAGCCCCTGCGCCCGGCCGGCAGGACATGCGTTCCCGATCGGCTCGGGCCGCCCTCCGCGGATGGCTCTGGGCTCCCTGCCTGGCACGCTGTCCTTCTTGGGGTCATTTTGAATCTTCCCTCCCTTCCTGCTTGGAGGACTTGGGAGTCTTACATGCTGATAGACCTGATTTTCCTTCTTTTAGTCAGGTACTGAGTCCCAGCACCCACCACCTTTTTATTATTTATTTGGGGGTGGGGTGGGGTGGGGGGCTTCTGAGAGAACCCTTGTTGGTTCTTTACAGATTTTTAAGTGACATTATTCTGAAAAGGAATTTCCTGAATGGGAGGGGAGAGGGCCCGGAGCCGGTTGCCCCCAGCCCCACCTCCTGTGAAGGAAGCCACGAGTTTAGACCATGTAGGGCAAAGTTTAGATATTTTCCTATGTTTAATGAGCATTTCGATTAACCTTCTCAACTATTTTTAAAACTTGTGAATGAAGCTTTATTTCGGACATTTGTAAATATGAACTCTCCCAAGGCACTTGGCCTTGATTCACTAGTAAATCCTAAGGATTTTGTGTAAGGTTTTTTTGCAACCTATTTAATTGTCATCATTTAAAGCGCCCATGGTTTTATGTCCTAGAACCAAAGCAGAACTTCCTGATTCATATTGGATCCCAGGTGTACCTTCTTCTGGTAGAGTGTGGTTGGGAAGGATCATTGGTTTTACACGTTGTAACCTGCCTGTTCTAGAGAATGTTTTTAAAACTCTTAACTCTCTCTCTCCTGTGCTGTGTTGTGGTAGGAAATCTTGTTGAGACAGGCAGGTAGAGCAGGTATCTTTAGTGAGAAATTGTTTTTCCCTTTTATTTCTAACCAACTAAAATGTAAAAAGATCATGGTGTTTTGCTCTGTTTTATTTTACTTATTTTAAAACGTATGTAGAAAAATAGAGGCCCTTTAAAGAGGAACAATGTAGTTTGAAATTTTTAATACATTGCAGAGTGACCTATTTTAATATATTCTGTATTTAGTAATATACTCTAGAAAGTAGAGCCTGAGGTTCTTTTAGCCATGATTTTCCTTTAAAGTTAGTTTTCTTCGTAAGGGCACACGTAGTGGAAGCTGATTTTTAAAGGACTGTTTCCGTTTTGTAGCCTGCGGTGTTGCTTAGGCTCGGATGTGGGCGCTTGAACCAGCAACACACAGCACACGGTTACCCTCTGAGCTGAAGGGCAAGTGAGCCTTTGTGCTGATAATCTGTCTTTGCTCTCCACAGGCCTGGGATCCAGGATTGCTTTTCCTCTGTGAGGATTTTAACTCTCTGTCTTCGTCTTTAATTCCACACTTTAATTTCCAGGTTTGACGACAGCAAAGCCCGAGATCTTTCCATTCCGAGCTGCTGCTCCGTGTTGGGTGCCTCCGTCCTCCGGGGCCCGAGTGCCCCCCTCCTTCCTGTTCTCTTGCACTTTTCTCCCCAAACCTGTCTATCAGCCACCGCTGAGAGCTCTTCTCCCCTCCTGGAAAATCACTTTCCTTGAGCTCCTCATCTCTGGATGTCCTCCTCCTCCTCCCCGCCTGCCTGGGGCGGTGGACTTCCTCGTCTGCCACTGGCGCTGCATTCTTTCTGGCTCCTCTGTCCGGTCTCACATCCAGAACTCCTCGGGAAGGGGGTACGAGGACGCTGTGCCTGTTTTTGCACCGTGTTTCAGCTCGGTTGCATCTCATCCTTTGCTTTGACAGGTTTTTACTCACGCTTTGTCCCCCCAGGTGTCCGCTGGAGAGAGCGACGGCTGACTTCTGTTACTTTGCAGTTTGGCTTGTAGGAGCGCGGGCGCCCTGGCCGCCGGCGTCGTGCCCGCCCTGCCCTACTCACCCCTTGTTTCGCCTCTACTTTGCAGGACCTCTTGTGCATGAGTTCAGTGTTAGTGAGGGCGCGCCGGTTTTTCCGCTGGAAGTTGTGGCCTCTTTGACCCTTTGTTGCCGCTCTCACTCTGGTCCTTCCTAGCCGTAACGCGCCGCGCTGCCCGGCCGCCGTCTGCCGGCTCCGAGGCGGAGTCGCGCGCTGTGTTTGCGGGGAGCGCGTTGAGAGTTCAGAAACCACCCGATGACTGA